AACTATATCATTCACACGAATGATATTGATTCCTTCTTCAAGTGTTTTCGATGTCCTAGCTGTGACTGTTTCTTCAACAGATCAAAGAATTTCAACCGACATTTTCTAACTTGTAAAGATCGAGTGCGACATATTTATCCAAAGAAAGGTTGGAAGGTTTCAATATCCCAGTTTCGAAAGATAACACACTATTCAACAACCTAGCCATTTTCGATTTTGAGTCGATATGTGTTCCATCAGATGAACTGAAAGCTACCCAAACAACAACTTGGATTGGAAAACACGTTCCAATTTCTGTATCAATATCCTCGAACCTGATAGATGAACCAATTTTTCTTTATAACAAGGATCCGCAAAAGCTTATTATCGATTTTGTAATCAAACTCGAACTTTCGGCTGAGAAAATTAAGCTCGAAATGAGAACTAAATTTCAAGATGTTGAAAGAGTAGTGAATGAGCGGATGTCGAAAATTTTCCAAGAGTTGAATGAAAGATGTCGAAATCTTCCAACTGAAAACTTTGAAAGATGAATGTATAGAAGATACAGAGGAAACTGATATGTCAACTCAGTTTTTGAGAATGCAGAAAAATCACCTGATTGATTTGAAACAAAATCTGGAGAGGTATGTTAACACGTTACCTGTATTTGGGTTTAACAGTGGAAGATATGATCTGAACTTGATCAAGAGCTATCTGATTCCCTACTTAATCAATGATAAAGAAGCTGAACCTATGGCTATCAAAAAGGCTAACGATTTCATATCCTTCAAGTTTGGAGATATACAGTTTCTCGATATCATGAAATTTTTGGGTGGAGCAACATCTCTTAAAGAGAATCCAACCCTTCAAGCAATGCAAAAAATGGTTCAGTTTTATCATCAGAAAGAAACTGATATGTTAAAACTTGGATGTACTCTTCCAAATCTGGCAAATATTTTTCTTCACAAATCAACCAATGAAAAATTCTACCCTTTTTGCGAAAGTGATAGAGATTTGTGCGAGAAAATTAGAGAGGATATGACGGGTGGACCATCAATTGTGTTTACTCGAAAAGCTGTTGAGGATGAAACCTTTATCCGGGATTCATCAAATGTCTGCAAATCAATTGGTGGAATTGATGCGAGCCAGTTCTATCCCTATTGAATGTGTCAAAACATGCCAGCAGGATTAAACACAAGATGGGAGTTTGATTCCGATATGCAAAAATTCAAAGCTAGACATAACCGATCTCGCAATTTTGAGAACATGGTCATGTCTTACTACCAAGAAACCAGACCAGAATGTAGAATTGAGAGCTTCCACACATCTGGAAATCAAAAGAAAATTGACTGTTTCAATGTTGATGGATATTGCAATCACTGCAAAACAGTGTTTGAAGCAATGGGATGCTTATACCATTTTTGTCCTTGCCAGGAGACTCGTCCCTCACTTAGCGATGAAGATATGAAAGAGGAAACAAAAGGAGAGAGATGGATGACTTGAGACGTGAGTATATTCGCGAAAAAGGATACAAAATCGAAGATGTGGGAATGTGAGTGGTGGCAAAACTTCAAAACGAACGAAAAAATAAAGAATCATATCCGATCCAATTTTCCCTACAAAAGACCTCTCTCTACTGATTCTTTATTGGAAAAAATAAGAGATGGATCTCTTTATGGCTATATTCAGTGCGACTTAGTTGTTCCAGACGAACTGAAAGCAAAATTTTCTAATTTTCCTCCAATTTTTAAAAACACTGATGTTGGAAGAAATGACATTGGGGAATATATGCAAAATTATGCCATTGAAAATGATCTTCTGAAGCATCCCTAGCGTATGCTAATATCTAGTTTCAAACCAGAAAATGGTTCCATCATTACTCCTCTTTTCAATTTCTACATGAAACTTGGCTTACAGTGTAAAAAATTTTACCGCTTTGTACAGTATCTCCCTCAAAAACGCTTCAACAAGTTTTTTCAGTCGTTTGTTGATGCTAGAAGGGAAGGAGATGAGAACCCTTTATCCGGTGTTGTTGCAGAGACTATGAAGCTTTTAGGTAATTCATCCTACGGTTACAAGATAATGGACAGATCGAGACATACGATCGCAGTAATTGAATGATGAGAAAACACACAAAGCAATTAATGAACCTCTCTTCAAACGATTGAACACTGTTCAGAAAGACTTGTGCGAGATTGAGTTACTAAAGTCAAAAATTGAGCACAAAGAACCCATAATAGTCGGATTTTTCATTCTATGCAAAGCTGAGAATGCTTGAGCTTTACTACAATTTTTTTGACAAATTTTGTGATGTAAATAAGTTCGAGGAATTAGAAATGGACATGGACTCGCTGTATTTAGCTCTTGCTGAGGAAAATTTGTATAATTGTATTCGTCCGGAGAAAAAAGGTGACTGGGAAAAATTGAGAGAAAAAGATTGCATAGATTCATTCAGAGCAGATTCAAAAACAAACTTTTTTCCACGAACATGTTGTAGCGTTCACAAGAAGCACGATAAACGAGAGCCTGGTCTGTTCAAAGAAGAATTTAGGTGTACGGAGATGCTATGTTTATGCAGCAAGACTTATTGTTGCTATGACAACAAATCAGACAAAATGAAGTTTAGCAGCAAAGGATTGAATAAAAGAATTCTAGAGGAATCCAGTGATGGACCTATAGAAAAATACAGGAAAGTACTCGACGAAGCAATCAACTTGACTTCAACAAACAGAGGATTTAGAACCATTAATCATATGGTTGCTACATACGAGCAAACAAAGAAGGGTTTGAGCTACTTTTACCCTTAACGACAAGTTCAGGACGACGGAATACACACAAAACCTTTGAACTGATGGTGTAATAGCATTCAATTCAGTATTGATTAAGTAACTGTAAACTTGTAAACTTGGTTAAAAGATTATACGAAGCAGTGATTTATATACTTCATCTTTTGAATATAAATTTTTTTCTTCTAAAAACATGATTTTTTTCTCGAAGTTTCGTTAGGTTTCAGTATAGCTTTAGATAGTTTTCTCGTTGAATCAAACCTTTTAAAATAATAATCAAAACATCTAAACCGTAGAAATTGACTAAGAAACGCAAATATTGGCAAAATCGAGCTCAAAAAATTCGGGCGCCAAAATTTTCTTGAAACTTACCATCATACCAGCTGAAACCTACCATCGTAATACATTGGGAAACCTATCATCGTAATACATTAGGAATCCTATTCGCTAATGAGTTCTTAATTACCTACAATGAATTTCTTATACATAGCGAAATCTATACATGGGAAATTCGGGCGCCGAAAAAAACTTACCATCTGAAACCTTACCATATGAAACCTTACCATCTTAATACATTGGGAAACCTATTCCCTATCTTAATACATTGTAGACTCTATACCCAATCTTAATACATAGCTTGGAGACCGGATACTCTATTCCCTATCTTAATACATGGGGGTCTCCACCCATCCCCCCCCCCCCCCCCCTGATCAGCTCACCCTTCTACTACTCTCACATTGATATAAAATTCACATTTTATCTCTAATGACGGATATTTTTAACTATTCCCCCCCCCTTTGGACTTTGTTAACTATTTCCCCCCTATGTATGTATTATTTTTGACAACAATTACTGTATAAAATATGCCTTTCAAAAATGTCAACAATTAAATGGGTTTTCATTTTCGCGCGTTCGTATTTGTATTACTCACTATTTATATAGTACCCACGTAGAAACTTTTAACAACATATTTTCTGAAAACTGTTTTAAGCTACTGAAAATGTGGCCGCCAAAGTTGAATTTCTGAAAATCGAAAAAGGGGGAAAAAGTTAACAAGATCCCTAATGACTATGACTTGTCACTTTTGTCAAATGTCAACCCAATTTGAGTTCAACCCAATTTAAGTTTCCAAATATAGTTCATTTTGTCCGGATAAATTAAATCAGAACTGTAAAAACCTATCATGTTCAGTCGCGCAATATGCACTTATGCACTTCAGTTATTGGAGAGGATAATAAGTCTTCTTGTTGGCAGATGAAATCTAATTGAACTTGAAAATAAAACTTAAAAATCAAAATTGAGTCTGCAACTTCCATAAAAAACACAAAGGAAATGCCAACACGACCTATAGAAGTATAGAAGTGTCGTCACTACGTTCATCGACACTCAAAAACGGCAGGTGTTCTAAAAACTCAAGAAAATATGAAAATAGCCCTCGAAAAGAAAACTTGGAAAACAAAAGAAGCGCACCGCAGTCCTCCTGACTACGACTCCCCACCGAACACTCCGTCAACATGTATGTTTGTACATCAAATAAGCCCCCCCCCCCTCCCCAAATTGTCCAAGTTCAGATCTTCATCCTCGAATTAACTTCGCGTAGCGCTGCATATAACATGCTCGATTCTGATTCGCTGAAAAATTTAAGAGAAAACCTAGCTTATATCCTCCCCTCCAAATAACTTTTGAAGAGATGTTATATTGGACTCATTTGTTCACAAAAGAAAAAACTAGCATACTGTTGCGCCCCTGATTAAAAATTAAACGCATGTTTTCGGCATTTTTTCAGTTATTTTACGTCCGCATTTAATGAGCATGGGCCTACAAAAACCATCGTTTTTGGTTGAGAGGCTTAAACTTAGGCCATTATGCCAACGCATCCCAAAAATATGCAGGGTTGAATACAATTTTTTAAGAAGATATAGACCCATGCATGTCAAAAGAGAAATTGTACACCACAAAAGAACACATAAATCTGCTAATTTTGCGCTCGACTTGTTCAACGAGTTAGAAGTTCTATTTTTCTGCTGTGGAAGTTTGACTTGTAACTTTATTTGAATGTTTTTAATTGAAATTATTAGATTACCACCTTCAAAAATCCAAGTCAAACATCCAAAACAAAAAAAAATGAGCCTAATCAAATTGGAATACTTCCCCAAAGAAAAAATATGACTTAGAAAAGTGTAAAATCAATTAGTGTATTGACTCTTAAAATAGTCTGAATACCTGGATACTTACTTTAGCGGTATCGGTCGCGTGGTTCTCTACTCTGGACACATTTCTGAAATGAGCCTGAATGGTATCCAGACTTTCTGCCATCGGCACCAGTTTACCATACTTCCACTTATTGCCTGAAAAAGTCATTAATTGTTATCGAATGAAACTGGCCCTAACGAACGACTGAAACTGATTGAATCAACTTAATTTTTAACGACATAAGAAAGCAAAAAACAGATTATTCAAACACTCCTAGATTGAAGAAAAAAGCGGGAAGCGCATCCGAAAATAACCCACTCGATTAAATAACACTTAGCATGCCAGATGGAACAATTTAGAAAAAATTGTTTATTCATGCTCAAATTCGGGTATTAATAAATTGTTGACAAATTTATACTGTCAACTTACAAAGGTAATAAGAGAGGATAGGCAATTGGAAAAGAGTCCGAATTATGTATGATTCAAGTGAGTACAAACGTGGATTAGAGCTTTTTAGGGTGTTCACCTGAGAAGGGCATGTACTCTATGAATCGGACATCGACAGGGTAGTAGCGAGTGAGTTCAACAAAGTCCACCACTTCCTCATCATTCAAGCCACGCATCACTACACAGTTGATCTGAATCAGCTCGATTTCTTAAAACTACCAATTAAATTCCAGCATTTTAATGAAAGTTTATTCAACAACTGCATTTAATTAGAGACTATCAATGCTCGAGAACAGAAAACTTTACTGAAAATATTCGGAATTTTGAATTAAGTGCAAAATTATATCAATACTTAACACAGAGGTCAAGCTGCGAAAAAAAAACTCTTATAAGAGAAACTGAAGACAAGGATAGCCGGTTGTTGTAAAGTAGCACATAATAATCCGACCATTGTTTTTTAAAAAACTTGAAAAAAAAAATTTTATTTTTTTAAATTGTATCGTCTTTTATTTTTAATGTGATTAGAGAAAGTAAACAAAAGCCTATAAATTTGTTAGAAAGAAAAAGTTCGGAACATTTGACAGCAATTTTTCACATACAATAATTATTAATTTTTTAAAATAAAAAAATGTGGAATACATTTTTTCCAACTTTTTTTGGTTCGTTCTTAAAAGTTTTATTTCCACGAAAGCGCTGAAATAATTCTTGTTAACTAATTTCACATGAGTAAAACTAAGTAGTAGTTATTGTTTAAAAATTATAACTAAGTATTATACGCCTTTTACAACCCCGCTCGAGCGCTTTATTCGCTTCAAATTAGACGAAAAATATAAAATTCAAACCGGTTTTTCTCAACAAAAAAAACTTTGGAAATTTTTAAATGTCACTCGAAAAACGTTTGCTACTTACTTGAGAGACGTTAATATGATTTATCACTTGACGAATCATTCCTGTAATCATTTGTGATATCTGAATTTGCGTGGAAAACAAAAAAAATGACCTAAAACACACCTTAACATCAATGGTTGGAACAAAAACTACAAAAAACAAAAAAACCTTGAAAGACTTCAATTTTAACACAAATGCGGAGTTGAAATCGGTAAAGATTCGGGAGTTTTAAAATGCATAATACCCAAATATTGCATGTAATAATTTGGAATGTAACAAACTAAAGGTAACAAAATTTTTGCAGGCGAAAAATTAAAACACATCAAAACAAATTGCGTATAAATTATGCATTTCAAAAATATCGCAGCCTATATCTAGTAGGAAAATTTCTGAAATGACAATTTAACTATTATGCTGTTGTATTAAACAAATAGCTATCTTCGGTTCAATTGACGAATTAAGAGAAAATCAACTGTTTTAAATTATTATTATTCAAATGTCAAAGCACATAATATTATAGTGCTAATGAAACCTAGGGATTCAAATGTGCTACCTAAAAGTTGCTGTTATTTTGAGATTTAGGTTCAAAAAAAACTGCCTCGTACTATCGCACTACAGTACGCGCGTGTATAAAGTATCAAAGACTAAAAAACATGATTTGACTCTATAAGAGAATGAGTAGCACAAATTGTCTTCCTCAACCCCAATTGATAAAATTATTCAAAAGCGTCGGTTTTTGGATTAAGTCAGGGGTTGTGCATAATTTAGTTCCACAAAATAGACAAATTGACAATTTTCCAACCTCAAAAATTTTACGAAAATGATTGCACGTTGATTTTTTTTTTACAATTCGACGCATTTTGTCGATATAATCGAAGGTGTAGAAAAGACCCTCAAAAACATAAATTTTAGATTAAACAGCGCAAAAATTTACTAAATGTGTGACATGCGTTGCAAAAAAATAGAGGACTGACTGTATAACACTACGCTCGCATGTGCAATCAAAGCAAAAACAGTAATGACCTCAACCAAGAACAAACCAAATGATATTTGTCGTACCAAGCACGAACTTTACCCCTGCTCCGAATTCGCAGTTCAACAAGTTGAGCTTTTTTATTAGAAATCCACCTGACAAATGGTTTTTGATTCTGAGACAAGTGGTTTACCTCAAAAAAATCCGACTTTAAATCGCTTGCTAGTCGCAAGTCGAACAATAAGTAGCAAAAGAAGATGGATCACTAAGTAGAACCACTAAGAATGCTCCAAGCGCGGAAGTTTCGAAAAAAATCGAATAGTTTTTAACATTTGTCTTGAATGCGGTTCAATTTGAGGAACAATGCTGAGAAATACAATTGCTAGTGGTGAAAAAGTAATGAAAACGAATCATATCAATCGGTATCGAATCAGATAACACTTGAATCGCAAACCATTAAGCCACAAAAGTGAGCTATCAAATTTTTGAAACTCAAATTTACGCCCATCCGGAGCAAAAACAAACTTTGAAAAACTTTCGGACCTTTAAACAACAAATGACCAATTAAAGAGAACCGTCTGCCAAAACTATTTATGCCGAAGATACCTTGGATAAAAAACAACGAAAATTAATACGCGAAAAAATGCAGACATAATTAACAGAATGATCGGTTGTTTAGTAGCACAATGCTCCGACCACAGATAAATTAAAAGAAAACAGGAAAACTCAAATTTTCCTTTTTTCAAATTTAGACGTTTTTTTTTCTGTGCGGCATGGGGAGAGGATCTAACAGAACATTTTGAACACTAGCATTGACCTTAATTGGTTACAGATGAATTTAAAAATGAATTTGAAAAAATCGAAAAAAGTTAACAAATTTTCTAGAAATTATAGAAATTTTCTACACAATTTTTTTGCGTTTTTCAATGTTGAAAAGCCAGGTAGGCATTTAAAAAAAAATTGAATGACTAAATTAAAAACTGAAGTACTCATAGGTTAAAGAACAGATCTTCACGTTGCAAACCTTACTCGCTCGCTTAACTTAATCGAAACTAGACAAAAACAAAAAAATCAAATCGGTTTTCGGATTTAAAGCCATTTAAAACCAATCGCAGTAGGACTGACAGGCCTCAATATGATATATCTTATGACTAATTTTGATAATTTTTCCTGATTTTGTGCGGAAAACCAAATAAAAAAACTTCAAAACCCATAGACCAATTTCCACCCCCCAACAAAAAACCCTGCCAGTGACATTGCATGCTCACAACACGTGTCAGCCTAATTCCAGCAGTGATTGCCCTTCTGCACCCAGGCCTGTTATCAAAAAATATTATCTAAAAATTCAAAACCACGTTCGAAACTAAAAACCAATCACATTCTTCTTTAGCGCCATTTTCAAAACTTTTATTTGTTTTTCCTTCAGCGAAAAAGTTTCAACTAACTTACCAAAAATTTATGAAAAATGAATAGAAGCGAATAAAAATCAAAACTAAATTTCTAAAAAAAAAGAAATAAACATCCAAATTAAAAATTAAGAAATCAAAATATATTTCAAACTTTTTGCAGGATCTTTCTTTGCTTTAAAAAAACTTAATTCCCATAAATGGGCTCGGAACTTCTAAAAACAATTACTGGAGTAAATTTTCACGGCTCAAAAGAACTTATCGCCTTATTATAAGCCTGCTCGCTCGCTTCACTTGCTCGAAATTAGACGTAGAAAAAAAAAACATTTGAAAACAGGTTTTCTCGACACAAAATTTTTTTGAACCACGAAAAAAAGGGCTGTTATATGATATACCATTGGATCCGTTCCGATAATTATGGAGCTGATTCTGCGTGGAAAAAAATATAAAAAAAGGAACTAAAAACAGACCCAAAGACAAAGTTCCTCCCCACTTCTAGTGGTCAGAACAATTAACTTCGCACATTAGCACTTGGAGAAAAACTTCAAACCGCCTGAAACAAAGCCTTGAAAATCGTCAGCAACACTTCCTATGAACAGAGCACAGAAAACACGAACTTCGCAGAGCTAGCAACTCCCTGTTCAGACATGGCCACCGGATAATCCTTTCATCTAAAATTAGCTCAGGGCCAAAGAAATACAGTCAGCCCCAAATTGCCGCCAATGAAACGTTCCGTCACCGTATACTAACAAATGTTCCACTCAAAAACATGCGCATTCGATCATCTAAAACAAAGGCGAAGCTGCACTTCGCAAAAACAAAAAGGAAATGCAAAAAAGAGCTCTAAACACGCAAACTAAAGTGAAATAGGGAAAACATAAATTATGCATCTTGAAAAAAGATTTAGTTGAAATTAGGAGTAACATGTTCTTACATCTGCTCCAAGGCCGCTTGTAATTTTTGTAACAGTAGCCATAAAACAAAGCAGCTACAGTTTCTATAAAATTATCAATATTATGCAGCAAAAACTTGACCACAAAAAAAATTTGTCCCGGATTTGAATATCAGACCTGTTGATTGGGAGTCTCACATCCTCGCATCTGCGCCACGGTCGCTTGGAAGTAAGCTAGTAGCCTAGCGAATGCTGGATCCACATGTTCTAATATTTTTAATCATATATTGTACTGATACGGAAATGCGTAATTTTCAAAAAAAAAGTAGTGGGTTAACCGCTTAGTTACAGAAAACTACTACTCGCTCTTTTAATTGAAATTTATATCTCAGATTTCGCAGGGTAGTTTTTGAAAAGAAAAGATTAAAAAATCGATCAAAAACAAAACTTTCCCTAAATCCATAAAGTTTTCTTTACTAAAGCATGGGAATAGCCTCTGCTTTTCACACCTGATATTTAGATTGAGGATTTTCGCACCATGATTTTTTAGATTGAAGCCTTAATATCAAATTTAGCTAATAGTTTTCGAGAAAAATAACGAACTTTCTAAAAAAAAACGTTGAAAATTAAAAAAAAATTCCGAAGCCCATATCAGCTTTTCTACAAAAACATGGTAAAACAGATTACGAAGGGAAAACCTAAGCACCATGTTAGTTTTAATGAATGATCAATCAACAAATCAGCAGGTTAGTTTTTGAAAAACTGAAACGTAGTCAATCGGAGATTAGAAAAGAGTAATGAACGCAAGTAAACATTAAAAAAACACTGATTTTGTTTGAAAACATCTCAACTTTCGAATTTCAAAGAAAAAAACAGATGCCCTTTATGCTCCTTGAATTTCTAGAGCAATTTATGATTGGGGCTTTTTTGATAACATTACTGCAGCTTCGGAAAACTCGATCAACAGGTAAAGTTTTTATTCCGCTGGAATCTAAAAATTAAATTCCACTTTCGGAACTAGAAATCGTTCACGTTTTTTTTTGCGCCATTTCCAAGTTCGCATTTGGAGAGTGCTATTCACGTCAATTTCAGGCAATGGATTTCAATTGAACTAAAAAAGTGCATATCTACTTACTTGCGTAAATGTTTTTAGACTTTATCCTAAAAAAAAACGAAAAAATCAGTAAGACCTATTTAAGAGTCTTCACTACGTTCATTACTCTTAATAACTTTCCATAAAACGGTCAAAATTTCATAAATTGGACATTTTCTACGGCCATATATTTCGTTCAAAATGCAGGGTAGCCACTTGCGCAGGTAAGAGTCGTATAACTGATTATTTTATTTTGCTTAAACCCTTTAATTCCAATTTGGCAGGGTAGTTTTTGAGAAAAGTCAAAAAGTTTTTTTAAGCCAAAATGTCAAAAAAACGGCTTGTTTGAGGCCATATATTTTTCTACCAAGTCAAGAGAATAGCCGTTTGAGAGGGGGAGAACCCCGTAATTTTGACTTTTGATTGAAACCTGTCTCAGATTTGTGAAATAAAGATTTGAAAAAAAAAGAAAAATTCAAAACAAATAGGTCAAAAATCCCCCTACTGAAACTTTCGAAGGACGTAGAATGTTTAAAAAAAAATGATAATAGAATAGCGAAATATGCAAGCAAATAGCAAAGCAGGCGGTTTTTCTATTGGTATCATTTGTTTTTGAAAATCGGTACAGTAAATTGGGAAAAATTGAAATTTCTGCGAAAAGTGTAAAAATTGTCCAAAGCATCGCAAAAAAACGAAAAACAACAAATCCCATACATTTTTATAATACATGTTTTTTTTTCAACCCGGACCTAAACTAAATTAGCCAAAAATAAAGCAGCAACATATTCCATTAACTTTTTAAAGCTTAAATATGATTAAATTGAAATATACCATAAGTGCCACCAAATGAGAACTTTTATTTGCGACTTAGGTTAGAAGAAAAATCTTCGTAACAAAACACTACGCTTCCCTTGTGTAATTATGAGTAAATTTAAATCAGTGTGACACCTGAATGTAATATTATATACATTGCTCTGCTCGATTATCCGTTTTAAGCACTCCGTTTGAAGCGAAACTCCCAACATTTTGGCAGTCATAATATTGAACTCCGTCTCCAAGTATATGATTTTTTAAAAACCAAAAACTATAGATTTGTAGGAAAAAACACAGTGTTCTTCGCGCTTAAGCAATGAATCGGAAATTATCACAGAAACGCGAAGTTTCAATTCACATACAGGTGTGAAATACAACAATTGACTTGTGAGGAAAATGCGAGGAAAACCTTCGGATATAAAAATGCGTTTGAAAATTTCAAAAATTGGCATCCGAAATCATCTTTGAATCAATAACCAAAGACTAGACATCAACCATTACAACAATGAGGCTCGAGTTCTTTTGCGCAGAGAGTTCTCTTATAATACAACACAATTTGCAGTTTTCTGAAAAGTGAGCCACCAAAATTCATCTGGGTACACCACACCCTGGATCCAACAGCAAGAAAAATAGCCTAGAAAAGAATGTGGCACGTTTCGCCCCACACACGTCTCGCCCCTAACTTCTTACACACTTAATTAATCGCCGCTTTCTTGGTTGACGATTTGAGGGGCGAAATGTGTGGGGGCGAAATGTGTGAACACCTCTCGAACACAATAAGAGACACTCATTTTTTGGTCTCAACTAATCTAACGTATGCTCAAAACTACATATAGAAAAAACACATTCGGATGAAGCGGTATCAAAATAAGCTATCAACCTTTATTATTTAAGAACTTAAGACCATTTTTAAAACAAAAATCAATCCTTTTTTAAAGAAACTCCCAAAATAAGATTTATTTGGAAGTCATACATGTTGTTTGACTAACCTTGAGTGGGAACATCTTTAGCCTGATGGCCTCGTGAATTGAACTCCAGACCATTTTGATTCCTGCAATAATCAGAAACAAATTATGACAGTTTGAATGTATCGCATTGTTTAATTTTCTCCGATGATATCAGCTACTTAAAACCCTTAACGGGTATATTAGTCAAACTTAAGTCTCGCTGTTATTCACAAATTATCAGAATTTTGTTCCCTCAAAAGATACCTTATAAAATGTAAACAAATATGATTAAGATTATTACTATTTTATCATCAAGTTCTGACATCTAAAAAAATCTTACCTCACTTAATTGCTAAAACTCCAAAGTAACCCTCCTAAAAAGATGAACTTCACCACAATACGAGTTTTTCAGCTCTTCGCGGAGAACCTTCGTTGAGAAATCAATTAAGGCCTTCTCCTTAATGTGTTTCTGGTCTCGTAAATGCAAAGAGCAATAATTTGATATCATTATTTATAAAAAAAATTTGGGATTAAATTTACCCAGTCTATCAAACAATACAGTCGCTTAAAAAATTGGGATTGATAGTTGCTCGCTTCTTAATTTTCCTTACGTACGAATCAGTTTGAGCTATCGCAAGCTATTCGACCATAGCCGGCCTCGAACATCCTATCTCTGGTTTGAGATGAAAACAACCAGAAAATTACCTCCTTTTGCTCGATATTATCTCACCTTTCCGTCTGGTGATGAAAGAGTACTTCTCCTCACGCAGAGTGTCCAGACTTATATTTAACCTGTCCAGTCCACTCTGTTGCAACTGAGCCAGTCTGGGTTTGAGAGAGATGCCATTACTAGTCATGCCTATACTCTGCAAGCCACTAGCACGAAGGTCATTCAGTCCACCTAGGATAAAGTAACAACCACTCGCTCGCGGACGAAATCCCCCAGGATCAAATCCAACCCCCACCGGGCTATTATCGCCTGGATTTAATCCCCAGTAGGACTAAACCCTCAAAGATCAAAAATCATCCAGTATTTGTTTGAATCTCCCTCACATTAGCAAAACGCAAAAGAGCAACTCAAAAAACTTAGTTAAGTTTCAAAACCATAAATAGAACTAGCATGAAAAAAGAGCAAAAAAAGGCAAGCCATATAGAAAAAATATATGGGGTGTGATTAAAAACGACAGATTAACTGCGATAGCTTTTAAATAGTCAATCTGTTTTTAATTCACCGCTAGACATAATATACGTTTTACGCGCCAAGTATTATCCTACTTCATAGCGTGTAGCTTCTTTCCTGAACTGCAACTGCGATTAACCAAATTTATGCAAGTATTGTTGTCTTTGGGTAGCTTCAAAAAACTTATCGATATCTGGGTTCGACATCTGCAGCATCGATTCAGATTCACAGTGAAATCCTTTGGCAGCATTGTTAAAAATAGGCACGTCATCAACTGTTCCAAAACAGACATATTCTTCATATCTGTCAAACCTGCCCTTCCATCTTAAAACTCTTTTCGCTTTTACTTTTCCACGAAATTTTCATCAAGTACGCATTAAGGCTGTCAGGGATCTGGCATCTCCGGTGACATTTTTGCACCCTTGCTCTACATGCAATGGCGGCACAACGTAGACAAGAGACGGATGGACAGATTGAACTCTCTGTCTTCCCAATATTGAATCGCAAAACAAAACTCAATGATCTTTCTGTAGATGGCCTGCTAAAATTGAAGAAGGCATCCCTTTAGCTTGGCTTGTTCGAAGTTGTTCCTACAGAATTCATGGATACCAATTCGAAGATCATCATTATCAAAAATAGGCGCTTTCACACCTGATTTTAGATTCCACCAAAAAGCAAAAGTATGGGTCCTGTCACTTGTCCGGAAGAAGTGCGTATATACAGGGCAATTCTGTGCCGTCAGCAAAGCAACAAACTGCGTAGACTATGTTAAAAGTTTCTGGGCAGCTTCTAAAAGTTCTATTGATGAACAAGACACCCAAACCGTCGAGGACATGAACATTTTGTTCATGGCAAAAATCTGATGCTGCATTTCACCTCCTGGAATAACTTAAGCTTCTATAGATTGGTTGCATCTGCTTTCAGGGCTAAATAATCTGATTCAGCTTCTAATGTTGGGAACAACAGGAAACTTCGAAGCACGATCCGGTGCTTAAGAGGCGTTTAATCTCGACACGAAAAATGGATGGTTTTCTTTCTTTAACACTTACCCGCAACCCAAAATTTTTTTAAAAAAAAGCGAGTTTTTCTTAAAGAATAATCTGAATAATAAATCATATTTGCAATTAGAGCTCAAGCTCAATGGTTACACTTATCTTCCATTCACTTGACTCACCGACTGTTCCATGTGGCTTTTTAATTTTCGCAAACTAAGCTTATTCTTATAAAAGGCTGGATGATTAGAGTTTTTCAAAAATCAAATGCCAAGACGAAAAGGCGGTGCTTGCGATTTGTTCAAGTGCAAGTAAAATCGAAATTAGGTCAATTGATAAATCAAATCATAATCCATTAAAAATATAGTTTTAGTCTTCGAAAGTAATTAAAATTACTGACTTTGTACTGAGAATCAGTCCTATTGGGAACTTTAACCGGTGGGATTTTGTCATGAAAACTAGTGTCCTGAGAGATTATATCATAGCTTTGAAGATTTAAAAAACAAAAAAGGCAAGAAAAAAACTATGAGTTTTGAACAAAGGCCCATTTTCAATTCAACTACAGGCTTCGAGCATACAAGTCACAAGCCTAACGCAACTGTGCTTCTAAAGCTCAAGGATTGGAAACCATATCCGCTAATAAACTATATCTGCTGAAACTAAAATGCCAAAAAATCAGCACTATTTTATGCGGGTTGGATTGAAAAATGAGCTCGCAAGTTAAAACAACGCTTGCAAGCGCGCTTGTGTAAATAAGGGTAAAATATTGCACAGTAAAAATACAGAATGAAATTAAATTCTTGCATAAAACTCAACAAAAAACAGAAATAGAAAAAAAAACTAGCTATCTAAAAACCATTTTCATAAGTGATTTTTTGGAAATTATTGGTTTTTCATTTTTTTAAAACTCAAAGAGCAAAAAATAATTGATATTGGCAAAAAGTTGACCATAATTTGTATGATGAAGGTCAAAAATATCCAAGAAAGAAAATGAGAACTGAGAAAATTGAAACAAATGAGAAAATAGAAACATTCATGAGCAAAATATTCCATGATTGAAGAGCGGATACAAGCCCAAAAAACACCAAAAACAACTTTCTAGTCATACAACTATAAAAAACTACCTAGAGGTTTAAATTTAAGCTTGGGAAAATGCAACCACTGCGACCAACATCGAACTGAATTTCATCAAAAAATACAGCTGAAATGGGTCGGCTAAAACCTATTTTCAATTAACAATTGGTATGTCACAATCATTTACACCAAATAAAAAGTGCTATGCTCTGGTTAGATTAGCATTTGGGAAAAAAGATTGCTGTCTAAAATGAAATAAATATCAACTGAGAGACAAATCGCCAAAAAACTTTTGAATGAAGACTTCTCGAGTGTAAAAAGTAATTACACTCAGTATTTATGCATGTACAAAACGAAATGGCGTTTACTCTTAGATTGAGCAGTTGAAGAATAAAAACTAGATAGAAAAAAAGCAGATATAAACTCAAGACCGTGTACGCGAAAAAACTCCGACAAAAAGCTATTTTGCGAATGTTCCCGCTGAGAATAGAACCGCGTAACTATGTCGGCAAAACAAGAAATCTACTTCACGTAATTCTCGCCCTTTAAATGTACTGCTCCATGCACTTTTGGCTCAAGGCGTAATATTGCGCCCGTTTTTTATTTCTCCAACCTCCAAAAATTCAATCAGTTGGTTTTAACCAATAAATATAGCCAACAGACAGTTGGAAAAGAGTCAACGTAACGCAAGTAAACAAAAAAACTAGCATTTGAAAAAAATAAGAATTCCCAAAAAAATAGATGGCCTGATTTACAATAATAGATTAACAAAGAAAAGGAACTGAACTTAAAAAAAATAATAAGTCAAACCGCAACAACAAATTTTAAAATTTTTCCTGAAAAAAAAGACAAAAAAACCAATCACGTCCTTTATAAGAGTCTGAACTAAGTTCATCGACTCTTAAAAACTAAAATTAAAACCTTTTTAATATTCAAAGTATCTTTTTTTTAAATACGGTTTTTTTTCAAAAAAAGATACTTTGAATATTAAAAAGGTTTTAATTTTAGTTTTTACCAGCAATTAAAGAAACCAGCAATTAAATACGGTTTTTTTTTCAAAAAAAACTATACAATGATTGTACCGATGATTTTGTTCAGCTCAGGCTGCAGAAGTGGTTCGCCTCCCGTCAGTCTGATTTTGGTCACGCCCAGTTTGCACACGAACAACCTGGCCAGCATTATAATCTCATCCGGGGTCAGGAGGTCTACCTTGGGGGTCAAGGTTACGCCTTCCGACGGCATGCAGTACTGACCTGGAAAAAAAAACATATTAGAGCTCTGTGAAATCTAAAAACTAAAATCCACATATGAAACTGAACGTCAATCACGCTTTTTCGCGCCATTTGCGCTTTCGGGGTCTTTTCCGTTATACGGCCCAAAACATATATTTTAGATAGGTTTGAAAAGGGGCTTAAATGTGATGAAAATGTTCAAATCTGTGAAAAAATACATCGGTTAAGTGACTTCAAGAAAATAATTTTGAGCAGTTCTGAAATTTTCAAAATTTGGCTACCCAATGAAATGACAAATTTTTGGAAATAAAACGACAGGTAGCCGTAGCAGAATCGAGAAAAGAAAGTTAACATACGCAAGAATAATAAATAAGTATTTATTTAGTAAGTTTGTTTTCTTATCTCGATTCTGATTGGCCTACAACGTGTCTACTCTATGACGTCACTCCTACAAACTTACATCTGAGGTTGCACTTCTCGGTGAGGGATATCCGCAAGTAGTCATGAACTCTGCCGAACTTGTCCTTCATCACCGATTGGTTCTCTTTGCTTAACGAGAATACTCTATTGCTCAAAGTCTCGTCAGCATTTTGTTGATCGCTAATATTTCCACGAACAGTCTTCGGTACATTTGAAACACTACGAACCTAAAGAGAAAAATGAAGAAAAAACTAATTAAAAGAAAAGCGAATCAGATATTTTATTCCCTAGCAAGATCTTGCGGAATCAAACCAAGAGGATTTTTCAATTAGCTAAGATTTTAGAACGCAAAATGCTTCGCAAGTTTACAATTACCAATTAATTGGCTTCATTTATAATACTCTAATACTGATTTCTTTCTTTAGCAATAAGATATTTAGCAACCACTTAGGAGGAAAAAACTATGATTCATCTGGAAAGAAGCACAAAATTTTCTATCATCAATCCAGTTGCGAAAAAAAATCAATTCAAACACACATCGCACTTTTTTTTCGTTTTCTCGCTTCATTTTCTCATGAAAAACTGAAACTAAGATTCACCACCTAGGCGAAGCTGCGCTTCGCAAACACTACCAAGCTCTACAAACTGCAATAGAAAAACAGTAGACATAGTCTTCGAATTAGTAAAAACTCGGATAAGTGGTGGATTCAATCTGCGACCTAGAGATTATGAGTCTCACGCGCTCACCACTCAGCCAGCACGAACGGTTAATAAATCACAAACACTAGCCATAAAAAAAGCTGAGAGCACATGCTATGCAAGAGTGCCATGACTTTTATTTGCGAGTTAGGTTAGAAAAGAAAGAAGGTTCGTACTGATACACTAATGCTCGCAAGCTTGCTAGTGTAGAAACAAATTTCCAACAAAGGCGAATCTGCGCTTCGCAAACACTAACGAGAACACGAGAAAAGGCAGATCTATCAATTGAAATAAGAAAAAGTAGAAAGAAGCATCGAATTAGCACAAACTTGGCTACGTGTCGGATTCGAATCTGCGACCTGGCAACTTCGAGTCTCACGCACTAGCCACTCAGCCACGGATGCTGAAAATCCCCAAAAACTAACCACTAATAACCAAGCTACATATGCAAATAAATTGCCAATTGAATACCGTAAAAGGGGCACCAAACACAAAAAGACACAATTTTGCAGGTAATAAATTGGAAAACAAAGCTAAATTATGCATTTCAAAAAAAAATTGCGAGATAAATTGAGTTGGAAAATTTCTGAAATCGATCATTTTACTGCTGTTTTAAACAAATAACTTCATCGGTTCATTTGATGAATTTAAAAAAATGCATCAGCTGTGTTAACTTTTTACTAAGCAAATGTCAAACCACATATAATATTACACTGCTACCGCAGCCCACCGATTCAAAAGTGCCACCAAAAGTAGCAGTTTTATTTGCGACTTAGAGTGGAAAGAAAAGAAAGTTCGTACAAATACACTTTGTTTCGGATTTGTAAAAAACCGTTCGAGTCAAGTGTAAAAAGTCAAGGTCGATAAACAAATTTCCATAAACGTGTAAAAATCAGGGTGTTTTTTTAAAGAAAATGAACGCTTACCACATTTAAAGCAAAAAATGTTTTCAGTAGAAATATTTCCAGTTGCTTTCTTCTAAAACAGAGGAAAAGTTGAGCTTCGCAAACACTAGCACCAAAAACTGTAAAAAGAGCTGCAAAACTCAATGAAATGAAATACGAAAATGACCCCTGAGAGAAAAAAGCGCAAAATCGGTCAAGTCAATTACACAGCACGTGATGCGAAACATAGAATTCAAATTTAACAGCTTCACGCTTTAAACTCAGCCATGAGCCTCGATTGAACACCAAATATAGTTTGGTCAATCAAATCCGCCGAGAATTTACTTGGACAAAAATGAATAATTGGGAACCTATTATGTAGACGCAGCCGTTCACATATTTAACGTCCTTGAACATGACCACCATGAGCACACAATTTATAACGAAAAAATAGTAATCGATTGCAACACTGGCTTATCGAGTGATGACTTGATCTAATACGAGGAGCCTTTCTGATATATAGTTATGCGTAAAAACCAGCCGTAAAAATTCGTGCTATAACGTGCTTGGACCAAAAACCATAGCCAATAGAAAGTTAATGGAAGAAAGTGTCAATGAACGATATTTTCAAGTTTAAAGAGTTTTAAAAAAATATATTTTGTTAAATCAAAGCTTTACACTTCAAAAATGTCGAGAAAACTAAATTATTAGGTAATTCTTTTATTCCGTTGGGAAATTGACATTTGAACTTAAAATTCAAATACAATTTTTGCCCCATTTCAATTTTTTTTAACTGGAGAGCGTAATTTAACTTTGTCTTAGCAAATGAAAACCAATTAGAAGGAATGACTAATTTCTCGAAAACTTTCGTTGCTGTCTTTACAACAACAGCCACCAATAAAGCGGATAATTCACATGCGGAAAAAACATATCAGCAGACAACAACTACTGAAATTGAACAAAAGCCTTATTGTTGTGATAAACTTATTAAACAGTTTCAGAGACTGGAAAGGGAGAATCTCAGGTTCAAAATGATGCCGAAACTCATCATCCACCTACTTTAAGTTTTCAAGACCAGACACCTATTGCGACACAAGAAAATATGAGATCGTGCGTGGTACTCAGTCATGCTGAAGAAGAGCTCATCATTAACAAGTTGGAGGAAATCATCGAAAAGGCCATTGAGAACAAAATTCCTGATAATGAGAGAGTGTTGATGGAGGATCTCAAGTAACAATTAGACAAGTGGTGAATGAATTTTTAACTGCTATAAAAACACAAATTTATGGGCAAGTTTGAATTGAACTGAAGCTTAAAGAAATAGGAATTATTGCAAAAGCCATATGTGAGGACGAACTACTAGAAAAGTATAACAGCAGAGATAATTTAGAGATATTGGGATATCCAGAACAAGTAAGACGAGATGCAAGTGGAAACAGCTTACTCAAAAAATATGAGCAGACCATCAGCTATGTCATACAACGGTGACGTCCCTCATGATTGAAGGACCGATTGCTTGAAATTTATTTTAGCTCACTTTCAGCCAATCAGAATTGAGTATTCAAAATCTCAAAGTAAATCGTGAAAATCTCGAAGAAAATAAATCCAGGCCAATAGTGTTAATACTGACCGATTAGATAATAAGCAGATGAGTTTTCAAGAATTAAAAATTCTTATAAAATTGAACTCATAACCATTGATGTTTATCTGAATAGTTTTGCTGTTGTAACCCGCAATTTTTAATATTTTTGATTAATTTCTACTAATTTAAAACAGTTTCTGTTAATATTGACTTCGATTTTATGAGAAAGGCATTAGCCAATAGGAAGGCTTAGTGATTTTGAGTGGCTGAAATTTTTCAGGCATTCGGTTCTTCAAGCATGAGAACCCTCCCCTCATACAACTATCTACAAACATTGGTGCGCAAGTTTCCCTCCGTATATTTATAGCTCACGGATTGCTGAAGGCGTTAAAAAACAGTGAGCATACTGCTCAAGATATCACTAGTGGGAGGTTTAACTTTATGCGATTGATGAAACAAGATGTACGAATCCAGGCAGTTTGGACCAGAGAAGGAAATGTATTTTATCAAGGAAAAAAAATATAAAAGTATGCAGAATTAGTAGTGTTCATGAATGGGCGTTGTAGCTGAATCACACAACAAAGTGAGTGATGAGTTGTTTTATGAACAAAAATGTTGTTTTGGAGAAGCACCCCTGTTCCTCTGGAACCCAATATTGCTGAATATTTAGTATCTGATGCTTTATTTGATTTTTCAGTCTTATTTTTTTATGTACGGTCTTTAAAATATCAAGGCGGAGAAATCAAAGCAATTTAATGTCTCGCGTTTCCAAAAGATATACTTACTACAGAAACTTGAATAACTTAAAAAGATAACACTGAGAACTTGATACAAAAAAGAGAGGTCGTGGCTCGCTGATTCAGCTTGATTCTGATTGAGGTTTTAATCAAGAGCTTGAGAATGGCCGGCCAGAAACAACAGCTGTTTTGGTAAAACATGCCAACCTTCGGATTTTATTAGCTATTTTTTATATAAAAAAAACTGCGCACGGACAAATTTTTTTGAATTCAAAAATTCGATGAAATTCTCGCGGAAATATGTAAGCATAAAAGTCCCGTCAAAATTGGCGTTGTCTTTCATATCAATACTTCAAAGAAAAACAATCTTGTTAATGGCTGCCTCAAAATTAAAGCAGCAAACGGCTTCGATGTCACCAGTGATGAGCCAACTCACTTCAGAATCAAGTACATAAATTGATGATTTCAACGTTAAAAACATTGCAGAATTTGAAGTAGAAGTTTTGGAGAGAGAATTAGTTTGCAGATCATTGCCCGATAATACTTACATATCATACATCACGGAAAGATACCACTGTGAAAACTTTTAGATAAATGAAAATTAATAAAGAAAAGAAGTCATCAAATTCCAAAAGTCCCTGGCCATTGAACTAGAAGAATCCTCTTTTTCCAACGAAAATGTTGGTTCATCAATAGAATTATTCCAAAATTCGTTTCATAAAGTAATAGCACTGATTGGACCTAAACATTTAAGCTCTGCAAAAGTAAACTACTTCCGGATAGTTTAGAAAAGACGTTTAAAAAGCAATAATCACAAAGAACCGATTCTATAAAACATGGAAACGTGACAATGAACAAAATTAAACTTGAAAAACTTATAACTGAGACGAGAAAAGAGCTGAGCAGTTAAAAAAGCAAAAAAAAATATTTTGATAGGTTTAATAATTGTATTGGACACTCGAGACAAGCTTTTAAAACACTAAATGGAATATCTGGAAAATGCTCTAAGAAAGTAGCAATGTACCTCTTCTGAAATCGGAACAATATGAAACGCTTAACAATTAGGATGTGGAAAATCTATTAAATTATCTTTTTTCTAACATAATCAAATAAACTCCTTGCATCGTTACTAAACGCTAATCCAAATGTAAATACCTTTTTGATGAATAACGAACCACTTTCAATGCAACTGTTCAAATCAACAGTTCGAGGTGATTGACGATCTAAATACCAAGCAATCAACAGGAATCGACGAAATAAGCAGCAAAATCTTTAAAAGAATTTTGCGCGTAATTGCACCATATCTAACGTCAAAAAACCATACCTATATTTTTACTGTTCTACAAAGAGGGTAGTAAAACACATTAAAATAACTAATAATAGGCCGATTTCTTTGCTAAACTGCTGAAGTAAAGTTTTCCAAAAAGCAATGAATTCCCGTCTTAACAATTATTTGGACCGATTCAGCATTTTATATGAAAAAACCTTAGATTCACAAAAAATACAATACGATCGACGCCTTAGTCGAATTATTAGACTAAACCCGATTTGGAAAACACGAAATGAAGTGTAGCAAGTTCTTGGAACTCAAAAAAGCTTTTGATACATAAGATCAAAAGCTACTTTTACTAAAATGAGAAAACTATGGGATAAGAGGGGTATGTAATGACTGGTTTCAGAGCTATTTATGTGATCGGCGGCTATGTGTTTTTTTTTTACAAATTTGGTTAAAATATGACAATGAATTCCCCAAGGGTCTGTATTTGGTCTACTAGTGTTCCTGGTATAAATAAACGATACGTCCCATTGCGTCAAAACTCTAAATTTTACTTATTTGTTGATGAGAGAAACGCCGCATGCGAGATTGAGTCCTTCGAAATTTTCACTAGAGAAGTTAACAGCATGTGTGGCTGGCTGAAAAGAAACAAAATGACACTTTTCGAATAACAACACTGCTTCCAGTCTTCAGCTTGTTTTAATGAACATACTGTAACTTCTAAACTTTTTGCAACTACCTCGTTGTTTTTGTGGATTACAAATTGTCTTTTTTGTACGTATATAGAACAAATGAAACTAACTAAGATATCGTGGAGCTATTGCGCGAAGGAGGAAACTGGTACCAATCGAAGCGCTCATCTCATCAGATCAAGCACATCATGAAAAACAGGCATTTGGTATATGGAGGAACAGGTTTTACGAATATCAACCCTATTTTTCATTGGCATAACATAATCAAGGTGATATTTTACAGAAGAAAACACTAAAGTCGTAGCAGCGAACATTTTAATAATTACAGAATTTTAAGTCCATGAGCTATTTGTGTACGATCTACTCAAACTTTGTTTCAGATCTAAAATATATCTAATATCGACTACCTATCATAGCAGTTTTTTTTTCTTTCAAGACTTCAGTTTATAAAACTAGAAAGTCAAACTAATTTCATTTCGAGATCCTTTGCTGCCAATAAAAATTAAAGCATGAATCATTAGGGCTCAGAAGATGCAAACTTTTGAATTTTTTAAGCGACAATAATTTAAAGTCTACATTTTTTTAAGTTTCAAAAAAGAGAAATTGAATAATTTTGTTCATAGATTAAAGAAAGTCTTTAATTCGAAAATACTGAACTTATTCGATTTATATTTGCAACCTGATACTTATGAGAACTATATTTGCGATCTAATAAACATGACTATATTCTGGTGTGGGGTATGGTTGCTCGAACTGTATTCTTTCAGAAGACCAGGCGTTGTCTTCAGACAACATAGTTTTATACTATTCCCGCGAGTCTTGAGTATGGGAAGACAGCGATGGGTGGCTTCATATTGCATCAATAGAACAAAGACATATTTCAGAAATTTGGTGAAAAAATGTCTAAAAAAGGGCTTTGTGCTGCCCAAACTTCACGCGAGTTTACAGGTACACTTTTTCTAGCAGATGAATTATCAGAAAAATAATAATTTTTTGTTTTTGTTTTTTTTTATATAGTTTTTTCCCGTTATAAGTGTCAAAACTAATGATAGCAGGTTCTTTAAACTCGTTTGTCACCAGGGTACGCTCCAAGTGAGTTTCCATAACCTTTAGCTTATCCACACTCAACTTCCTGCAATGCATTATCATACGATTTGTGAACTAAAAAACATCAATTTGCTAAACTTTGTACAATCTAAAAAACTTTTTTCATGCCCATTTTGAGTGAAACAAATTTTTCTGCTTTTGCTGAGTATAACTTATGCTAGATAGCTTGGAAAAAAGAAAAAATCGTAAAACAACACCAGTGTTTCAGACTAAAAAAACTAAAAAAAGTAGTTTCGCAACTGCTTTTTCACGCATGAGGGAAATAATTCACTATGAGAGCCCCCGTCTCCCAAGACTAAAAAACGCTTTAGCCAATTTTTTCACGACGATTGAACGCACGCGGCAGATTAATTAGTTTTGTTCATGCAACAAATTTCACGTACTGATTTTTTCATGAACTGCTTATGAACGCACGCAGGTTGACTAACTTGCCTTCATCTTGGCGAATGAGCTTTAACTGAACCTGTAAAGAAATCTAAGTTAAACCGCGAAATAAAAACTTCACGAAATGAAGAACTTGTGAGACTTTTACTAACTAAAAACGAGCAAAGCCACACGATCTAAATAATTGCTTTGACTTCGTTATTTGGCACTTAAAAACCAATTGTCTCAAAAAAATTGCTAGGGATCTCTTCAAGCGAAGCCGAGCCAAACGAATATTATCCCTCGGATAATTAATTATGGATTATTATTGACTTACCAGAAAAGGATTGACCTTGGCGACGACGTTTAGAATCTTGTTGAAAGAGATCGCGTTCATATTTAATGATAGAAGTACTCAGTAAAGCAGACAGGCACAAGTAACCATATCCCATGAAACCAAAACTCTGAAAACCAAGAATAGTTACCACAACTTTTTTTTAAGGCCAGCCGCTTCGATTTTTATTGAGCTCTGCAAAAACGAATTTGGTCACTCAATAAACATCATTAACTGGGCTTTTGTTCTCTAACTTTTTCTTTCATTGTAATCACGAAACTTTAAGTAATTCTTGCAAAAAAACTATATATCGCAATAATAGATGCATGAAGAGTTTCCGAGAAAATTTAAATTCCCAGTTTGAAATTTTCAGAAGTTCATAAGCTTTATTCCGTTAATTTGACTTGGTAGTAGCTTCACTTTTTTATTTATATTGAGAATGTAGGTTCTTCGTTAGGCAATTGACTTTTACTTTTTCAGTCCAATTTGTATCGAATTTTAGTGAAGGATGACTTTGACAATTCAGCGATGTTCGTGAAATGATCAAAACAAAAAAGAAATTAGGCCTAAAATGCATTGCATTATTGAAATATCTATAATATTTAATGAGTTTCATCAGCATTCGTTTAAGAGAAGGTACCAATGAAAATAAATTATGCAAGAAGAAATGATTCATTATGGTGGTAAACTGGAGAAGTTTAAAATTGCAGAAGGAACAAGGAGGCAACATTTGTTTTGTTGAATCAATCAAAACGCTATTGATTGATACCTACCTGGACACTCTTGCCTTCAGGTAGATAGAAACTCTTGACAAACTGTTTTTAAATATTTGAAGTATCAAAAATTGTTCAGACCGTATTTGAAGAGATCAAGACTCTGTTAGAACCAGTGATGACTATATTTTAAAACGAGTATAAATTTCAGTTAAATTGTTGAAAAAACGTATAAAAATTGTTGCCATCAATTTACACTAATTCATTTTTCAATAAAAATTTAAATTAACTATACTGGTTAACTATACTCCGCTCATTATATGATTTTATTTATTTATTGATATTCATACAGTCTAATTTAGCTCGGTTAAGTATCAGTATTATCATTAACGCATTCGAAGCCAACATTTTTTTTATTAGAAACGAAAAAACAAGTTAAACATAGCCAGCAGACGGTTGGAAAAGTCTGAAGAACAAGGAAACCGTAAAAAATTTATCACGTTGAAGCTCTCTGAACTTTAAATACTGTTCATGAGTAGCATTTTTTCACAAATTTAATCCCATTTAGAGAAAACTCGATCAATGAGTTAATTTTGTTCCGCAGGGAATTCAGAAAACTTAAGTCCATTTTTGGAACTAGAAAAGATTAACCTTTTTAGTGACCTTTACACTTTTGCGGTTCGATAGTCAAATCAACAAGCTTCAAGACTTCTAAAAAAATAATTGAAAAAACCATCAAGACCTATGTAAGTGAAAATCAATTTGTTCTTATTGGTCAATTTGGTGAAAATCAATAAGAACAAATTTGGTAAAAATCAATTTGGTGAAAATCAATTTGTCTTGCTGATTTTTCATTTATTTTTTTTCAGAAGTCTTGAATCTGGTTGATTTGACTCTCGAACCGCAAAAGTGCAAAGATCACGAAAAATGTTAACCTTTTCTAGTTCAAAAATGGACTTGAATTTTCTGAATTCCACTTAAAAACAGCGTTTTTTGTAGTTTCGGGAACAAGCTAACCCAGAGGTCAAAAGGGCATCGAATCCAGATGAACTTGACCTCATTTAATAAACATTTTTTTCAATTGCAGTAGGAGGTCAATCAAGATACTTTGAACTGTAATCAACATAAGGAATGACTTAAGTTCCTCTTTCTTTCTCAGCTAACCTTTTGTTCACTAGTGTTTTTGGTAGAAACTATTTATCTGTGTCAAACCACTGGTAATAGACATTAAATAATGAACTATAATCGCTGAAACAGTTAAGTACGTCACTTAAATGACCACCAAATCTAGTAATTAAACAGTATTGAATTCTGATTGAATATCACTGTCGAATTCTGATTGAATATCACGCCTTTCTACGTCACAAAGCTCTTAAAGTTTAATCAACTTTGAATATAAGGAAAAAAACAACCATATCAAGATTTGCGATTTACCAAATCGAGACAAACTTCTAGACAAACAAAAACGTCACTATTCGGTCATTGGAATTTCTGATTCTGGATTCAATCAGTCTTTTAAAATCGATCATTATATCAAAATCACATCTGTCGATTCAGTTGACCAACAAAACACTCTCAATCTCAAATTATCAAAATCACAACCTTCCGTTCAAAACAACACCTTCAGTTTAAATTAAAAACCCTCTTTTCAGTAGATTGATTTAAAAAATTCAATCTCGAAAACGTTCTTGCCTAAGCTGTGCAAGTTTGAACTTAACTCAATTGATCTATAACTCAAATCAAGCCAAATTAAGATTCTCGCAATGGACGAAGATCTGATGAGACTGCTGCTAGAACAGGGATCCGTGGGAGGTGGCTTTGGAGTCTAAAAATCCAGAATATATTGCAGGAAGATAACTTTGGATTCTGGATCCAAAAGTCGGACTCAAGAATCTCTGGAACCATACACGGCAATTTAAGACATCTATCAAAACATAAAGACACCTTTTCTTGGAAGCTTTTGGGCCCGGTTTGCCTTTGATACCAACACTATTTAATTTATATTCAGAACTGACAGTAATCTAATTTATAATCAACGTCAGTTTATCTTTGGAGCTGACAATGACACCTTTATTTTCGACATCTAATAGCAGTCGGAGGAATCTAACGAGCCTGGAAAAGAATCAGCACGGCTCAAGAAAACGACTTTTTATTCTTCCATTACGATGACAACAACGTTTCTTCCGTCTTTTCAGGACAAGAAGGGATTCTTTTCAGCTAATAACAGGAGCAATCATGAACAGCCCATTTTCGCAGTCAAATCATTGTTGCAATATGGGAGCCGAATTGGTTTCAGCTGCCAAAAATAGTCAAATATTTGTCTAAGATGTTGCATTAAATATTTATCTGCTTAGTAATTGCTTCTACAACTTTTGATAGTAATTCGATGATTTTAAATTAATTTATACAGAAATTTTCAGAAAGCATTTGTACTTACATTCATAATTTATTGTTGCATAAAATGAATTCTTAACATTCAGAACTATATCTCTCAGTTTTCTGCGTCTATGCTCAAAAAATTCAAGCCAGTTAATTTCAACTGCAATAACAACCATTTCCCACTTGCCTCTCAAATTGTCAAAAGTTGGCGATCGCAAAACGCTGGCAAAAACGGCCCTTTAAAACACTCTTTTTTGAATAAAAAAACGTAATGCTTTCTACTAATGGAGGCGTAGCGATAGCAATTACATATTAGCCAATCAGATTTCCCGATACTAATCTCTCATTGTTAGATATGAGAAACATGATTGTAAATTAGCACAAAACAGAATTGTTTTGACTTTTGATGAACTTTTTGTTGTAAAATAGTAGTAAAAATGAACAAGACTGCTCGTATCAGGGCGAAACCCTGAATGTTCCGACTGCCTTTTAAGGTTTATTGAGCAGCAGTAATACATAAAAAAAATTGAATGAAATAAAATGAAATGAAAAATTTTTTTTTCTAAAATTTGAAATTTTTTATGAAAATCATCCCCCCACACGCCATACAAAGTACAAAAGGATAGATTTCGTTCCTTGTAACAAATCAATTATGGCAAATAAGCTTCGTTCAACCAATTTGGAACGATTTATAAGACGGATTAAATCTCCGCTTAAGCGTTAACAGCGCGAATTATATTGCGCGTTAATTGTCCCAAATTGGTCAAAATGGCCAAAATGGAAATCTTAAAACCCTCATAACTTTAGAAAAAATAATCACAGGTGAAATAGCTTTTCAAATTTAAGCTCAGGACAACAATACCTTTTGAATGATATAAAAAAATTCCGTCAAAAATGGCTAGTTAAAAAGTCGAAATTTGTCTGAAGAAAAAAAAAAACCCACCCCGAGCACAAATATTCCGTTACTTTCGTATCGAAAGTCGGAACAATAAATAGTCATGCATTAACCACTAAATATCCAAAGCAAAACAGTTTTTCCAGAATAATTACAGAATGAAAGAGGAAACGCCTAAATAAAGCTAGCAAAGTTTTATGCTTTTTTAAATCTAAATGCTATTTCTTACAGTCCAATTGTTTTCACTCATCCTTAGTCAGAGGCGAGGCAATAAGCCAAATGGTCTAAGAGCAGAATGGGTCCAAGAGCAGAAAAACAGAAAATATTAACTTTTATACTTATACGGGCTAATTGATAAACAATTATTAGACAGAGGCGAACCTTCAGCTTCGCAAACACGAGCGAGAAAGCGGCAAAAATTCATGAGCTATAAAATACACAAAAACCCTGCATGTAATAATTTGGAATGTAATAAACTAAAGGCAACCACACAAACGTTGCATGCAATAAATTATAATGTATCAAACCAAATTGCGAATAAATTATGCATTTCAAAAACTCGCGAAGTAAATCAAGTTGGAAATTTTCTGAAAACACTTAGCATTATACTGCTATTACAGCCAACCGTTTGAAAAGTGCCACCAAAAGTAGCACTTTTATTTGAGAGTTAGGTTTTAAAAAAAGTTGCATCGTACTATCACACTACGCTACGCTAAATGGATAATAATGCATGAATTGAATAATTTCATTACGTTTTTTAAATGAAATTAAAAAAACCGCGATTGAATTACTTATTAAATATGCCTAAAATATTCGTTTCTTTGGTAATATTGACAATTTTTATACTTAATTTACCGGTAAGTTTACATGATATTTTTCAGTTTTTCTGCTCTTGCATCCATTCTGCTTTCAAACCATTCTGTTTTAGACTGGACTAGTCACTGAAAAGAAATTGAACTTAAATTGCCGAGAGATGAAACGACAAAAATGCCAATTTTAGTTGATACCGCATGTTAAATAAACAAAAATTCGCCAAGCGCGGCGTCATAATTTTCGATGGAAAAACAGTTGACTGAACAGGTTTTGAACTTCCTTTGAAAACAAATCAGTTTTCACGCAATGCTGCCAACAATTCACAAACGGAATCCAAAACTCTCATAAATCATCAATTTTGGCACTCGTGAACATTTTTTTTCAGTTTCGGCACTGTTGAACGCCCATATTGTAAGCATGGTAGGCATTGATAAACCGAAATTGGCTGTATTGTTAATTATTTAACCGTCATAAATTCGCAAAAAAAATGTCGCAGGGGAAATATCCTTTTACATGTGAACTAAGTGCATTGATGTCTTCTATGTGGTACAAAAACAGCTGGAAAGGAGCATCTACTAAAATACTGGTACTGAGCCGTAATGAGCCTCATGAAAAGCACACACTACAAATACCCAATAATATCTCGAAACATCCGTTGATTGCTAGTCTTAGTAACTTAACAATATGCCTTGAAGGATGAATTTTTTATGACGCCCTATCACCTATGGCAGCTAGTAAGGCCTTACCTACAACACTCGCTTTTCAAACATTTCTCGAAAAATTTTGAAATAGTCGGAAAATCTTGCTGAATTAATTACTAAAATTAAGAACAATACAACTTAAAAAAATTTACTGTGTTTCGTAGTTTCAATGGCGCTTTTTGTAGTTTATTGTCAAAATTTGGCGTTTTTTGACCAAAAAATATAGCTTGGATATTTTAAGCTCAATTTGAAACATTGTTATCACAGAATGCGAAGCTGTGCTTCGCAAACACTAGCGAGAACACAAAAAGCAGCTCTATAAAAAGCAATAAGAAAAAGTAGAAAAAAGCTTCGAATTAGTAAAATTCAAGCTACACCTCGAATTCGATCTGGGACCTACTGCGACCTAGTGATAATGAGTCTCCCGTACTAACCACTCAGCCATGGACGCTTAATAAAACATAAACACTAGCCAGAAATAAAGCAGAGAACAGATGCTAGGAAATTTCTACTGCTACAGATCGTGATTATAGCAAAAGCGCCACCAAATAAGTGAACACTTTTAATGAACTCTTTAATTTGCGAGTAGGTTAGAAAAAAGAACGTTCGCACTAATAAACTACGCTGATCGCTAAAGTGATCAGTTCTTTTTGTCATCTTAAAACGAGTTGAATCTACCACAAGCTTGTGCTGGTCGTTACAAGTACTGGATTCGAACATCAAAAAATTAACAGAAGCGGTAAATATCGGCCAAAACGGCAAAGTGCAAGTGAGACAAATTGACATAAGGCAATGTGTCGTGTAGGGCAGTTTAGCATAGGGCAATTACTAGTCAATTACTTTCTTCGCACTATTTTGCCTCTTATTTCGTAAATGAATTTGAAATTCAGTCGAAAATCAGAAACAATCTCGAAATCAAAAAAAGAGCGTGAAAAAATTTGAAGACTTAATTTATTTTAGAAAAAATCTATATCGTAATATGACAATTCGCAACAAAATGTATTTCGCAATTAATGAAAACTCGCATTAAAGAACAACTTGGAATTTACTCGTAGCTGCAGTCGCGTCAACCTGTTCCGAGATTGCCAAAATAGGGTAGGACTTAATACAAACGTTAGAGCCGATGTTCTCAAGCTTCGTCTTTTGTTGCGAGTTGTCGCGTTACCGACCGAGATGAACCAGTTCTCTCTCCCTTCAAAACAGTTTAAAAACTCGGACTCCTATTTGGCCTGTCAACGCAAAGAAAACTTTGTAGGAAAGTTCTGCGATATGATAAATGACTCGATCTCGCGCGACCATACCAGTCTTACCAGGGTAGTCGATTTTTCGTGGAAAAGACACATGTATCCTGTATACGCAGTTCGTTTTCACATTTGGTGGTCAGAAACAGAAGCAGCTGTTCTGTCTCAACCAGTCCGATTAACCGAACCCAATATGAAAGTTAAGTTGTCGGCTCCTAGACAGCGACTTATTTATCCAAGAATTATTTATCCATCGATGGGTGTGGGCCTAATAATAATTACCAGTGTTGTTGTTACACCTAATTTACTGGGAACTTTGAAGTAAACCGATCTGAAATGAAACAGTATAGTTGTAGTGGATTTACGGTCAGAGTAGCGCTAACTTCTACCAGCCAGTTTTTGATCTCAATTATGTCCTAATTCCTGGTAGACTGAAACCATATCAAGATCTTATCGATTAGGAAGCGTGACTGAATGAATTCCAACCAAGTGACCTTTCCGTGACATTCAACAGTAGAGAATGTTTCTCAAGTATTGCGTAGGTTCTGACGTTTTTCGGTCTATTAAAAGTTATTATATCTTCAAATTCTAGTACTCATTTTCCGAAAATGGGACTGATCAAGACGCCAAACCACATGAAACGACACCAAATGTCTTTCGAAAAGATCAACTTGCTTTTGATGATACCACCGCCTGGGATTGGTTACAACTCTAACAACCAGTCAAGTTATTCATTCATAATTCTTCTTGATTTTCAGAAGGTTGTTTTGTGGTTACAAATTTACAAAAAAGTTATTGACAACTCTTGCACAATACAGTTCTCACACATCCGGATCTTAACTATTATTAAAAGAGTACTATTGGTCATTATTTAACAATAGTATCTAACTTCATCAAGTTATAGATTACTCTCTCTAAGACAGTCTCACAAAAAAAAATCCAGCAGTTTCCAATTACATTACGTTCATCAATTTTGAACTGAATTAGGTTGTTATATTAAGCTACCAACTGCTCCTAGAAATGGATGATGATTACATGCGACTTCTTCTGGAACAGGCATCGATCGGGGGCGGATACACTGCATGAACACTTTCTTGGAAATGTACCAACTCGAAGAGCTTCCGGGAATCCTTGCAAAGGGTATCCAGGAAGACTATGAGCATCTAGCACAGAAAAAAAATTCTTCGAAACCTTGCGATCAATTTAACATGCGAATTCGATTTCAGCTATTCGGTTTGAAGACAACGATTGAGACTTTTTCAATATTTGGTAGGAACAAAAAACTTCATCATAACCACGATAGACGACAGAGAAATCTACGGACTAAAGTTGTCAAAGTGGACACCATTTCATGTCAATTTGATAGAAGAAAGAGCAGAAACTTCCGACAACAAATATCATTGGAAACATTCTACTTCAATAGTTTCGCTCAAGAAGCACCCGCTGGAAAAG